TCTTTTATGTTGTAACATGTACTGGTATTTCATTCATTTTTATTGTTGAATAGTATTTCATTCTTTGGATTGTCACATCTACTTTTGATGTTGAGCCTAAGAAATCTTTGCTTAATTTCGAAAAATTTCGAAAAATCTGCCAGTTTACTTTTAAGCTCTTCTGTTATGTTTAATCCTTGTGTGATATGCTTTGATTTAATATCATCATCATCATTAGTTTCTGTTTTGAGTTTTGTAAAGTAATTGAAGCCCAGAGTTTTAAGTGCCCATTGTTGCACAAGTGGGTGTAGTACAAACTAACTTGCTTTGGAAAAGTAACAGTTGTTCCTTTGACACATAACTTAGGGGTATGTGTAACAAAGATTATCTCCAGCCTATCAATGTACAAATTACCTATGATGTTTTAACATTCTTTCTTAAATCATGGTTCATATTGTCTAGGCCACAGATAAAGAACAGACTGCCAAAGCAACCAAATTTTTAGCCTTGGACAAATGCTTACCACACAGAGACTTTCTTCAGGTAAAAAAATTAAATAACTTTGCAATATAGTTTTACTTTTCCAATGATTAAAAAAAATTAATTTTTCTTTCCTAAGTTATTAATTTGTGCTTTTTGTAATTTAATTATTCTGAGAATTCTTTGGAAATATTTACATTGCATTAATATTTTTAGGCTACTAAAGTTTTTTAAAATTTTATTGTTATATTGAAATCCTTAGAATAATAAAAATAGGTATGTATTTCTTAAAATTACCAATTTCTTCCTGTAGGTAATAGAAATAGATCATGATTCCAGTGCTCCTGATTACTTAGAGTATGATATTGAATGGCTCACCATTCTCAGGGCTACTAGCAATCTCATTAATGTGACTGGGCGCCTATGGAATATGCCTGAAAATAATGGCCTGCATACAAGGTAAATCTGACCTCATTTAGGACTTGCCCCCCCATTGCATGCACAGTTTTTGTCCTCCAATCACTTTTTTTTTTTATTAAGAGAATTACTGTTAAATGAATGTAAAAACAGTTCAAGGTTTATAAGAAAGTGGACTGTTGAGCACCAACCCAAATAAGTGTATAAGTGATTAAGTGTGCACAAATCTGTAACATGGTAGAGATTTGGTTCGCACATTAAAATAAGTTATACTTGCTTTAGGGTGTGAGTTAAGGACAGCTTTTTCTAAGAATTGTGTTTATTTCAAAATGCACCTTTGCTACATTAACTATAGTTTTACTGAGTTGAATTTTGATAAATGGTTTATTTTTGATCCTTGCACCTGAAGTCCATAGTTAGATTTCATCATTTATTAGCTGAAGCTGATAAAATATAAAAGGCTATTGTTTTGGTTTTTAAGGTGGGATTATAGTGCAACGGAAGAAGCTATGAATGAAGTATTCGAAAAATTGAATCATGACCTCAAAGTTCCATGTAACTTTAGCGTGACGGCTGCTTGTTATGACCCAAGCAAGCCACAGACACAAATGCAGTTGGTTCATAGGATCAATCCTCAGACTACTGAATTTTGTGCCAAACTTGGCATCACAGACATTAACGTCAGTCTTCAGAAGGCCAAGGAAGAACATCACTTGTGTGGTGAATATGAAGAGCAGGGTGAAGGGGAGAGCAACGACTCTGGAGAAGATCCTAGTGAATATAACACAGACACATCTGCCCTGTCCTCTGTTAATCCAGATGAAATAATGTTAGATGAAGAAGAGGAAGAGGAAGATGAAGATAGTTTTGTAAGTACACATAGTGACATAACTACAACATCTGTAGAACCTTCTTCTGATCAAGCTTCTGACTTTTCTGCAAGCTTCTCTGATGTCAGGATCCTGCCAGGTTCCATGTTTGTTTCTTCTGATGATACACTGGGTTCCCCAGTTGTCAGAGAGGGGAACCCTGGTGAGGCTGTGGAGTCGGGAGATGGGAAGGACTTAACAGAAGTGCCACTGAAGAGGCTGAGTGATGAACATGAACCTGGAGAAAGAAAGAAAATTAAGCGGAGGAATCAAGCCATTTATGCTGCAGTGGATGATGATAGTGCAGCAGAAGACAATTGACTTGTCTTAGTATATATGTAGATATGTGATTTTTTAAAACCATATTTTTAGAGTTGGATTTTTTACTGAAGACTTCACTTTGTAATAATGAACTTACATAGAGAATTTTAGTTAGGTATTATTGACTTTGCCTTTAGGCCTTTGTATGTTTCAGATACAAACATTAAAATCTCATGTATTTACTTGATTGAGTACCCTTTTTTTTGAAGCAGATGTTGCTTTCATTTATGCAGCAAAAATGTATTGAATACATACTTTGTGCCAGGCACTTTTCTGTCAAACGACACTATAAAGTGAGTGAGACAGGGATTTTTGCCATCCAGGAGTTACTATCACTGTAAATACTTTGGAGACTAAAATATGGCATATTTATATTTTGTTTTACAAAGTTAAGTCATTATTGTATATATGATTATGTATGAGCTTTCTTTTCATTTATTATATTTTCCCTGCTCAGCTCTTGATGTCTGTCAAATATAATTGAAATTGAAGATGGTGGATAAGATTTCAGGAAATAAATTGCTTTAAATACTAAAATTTGTAAACATAAAATTTTACACTGAATTGCTGAGATTAATATAACTGTTAACTTTTGCATATTGTATTTTAGCTTTAGGCTTGATTTTAATGTGACTATAGTTACTGTATATAGGTCACAATATATAGGTCATTTTGGGCATGGTTCAGCTTAGTATTCATTACTAGCAGGGACTGAGTTGCACAAATGTTGCCCTTCATGCTGCGTAATGGGTTGCTAGCATTAAAGTATTTTTAAAGAGCCATGTGGGAAAACACTCCTTTGTCCTGTCTCTGGTTCAAATGCCCGGGCCACTCGAGGAGATTGATGCTCTGCACTTTGGATTAGGAGTCGTGGAATCCAAAGACTGTTCCAGAATCTCATCGTCCCACAGCAGTGCAAGTCCGGAAGCCAATCAAGAATGACGTGACAGTTGGCTTCCATCTTGTTAGCATGTGACTTGAAAAAGGTCTAGGACTTTTGGGTTTTTATCTTTATTGCCTTCCATTTTTTGCTTACTTTCTTATTTTGAGTTGAATACTTCATTCACTTATTTTAATTCTCATAATTTACATAAAGTTGTAATAGTAGATTTCCCCATCACTGATTTAATTGAATCCCACAAATTCTGACATTTAGTAGTTTCCCCCCCACAAATTCTTAATAAAGATAAAAAGAGAAAGTAATTAGATATAAAATAAGTACTAGTTAATAAATGGTGGTTCTTAAAAAAAAAAAAGACAATCCTCTAGCTTACCCAATCAAAAAAGAGAGCACAAATACCAAAAAATAAATAAATGAGAGAAATAGCCACTGAAACAGGATAGTCAAATAAACATAAGATTGCTCTGTATAACTTGGTATAATAAATTTGATAAGTGGATGCTTATTTTCCTAGGAAAATAGAATTTCCTGAAATTCACCTTAGTAGAGATGGAAAGTGTAAAAAGTTTCCATAGAAAGGACAGAGAAAGTTATCAAAGGCTTATTCCCACAAAAAAGCACTTGGCCCCCATGGTTTCAGGAAGAAACTACCAAACCTTTTAAAGGTCAGATAATCCCTAATGTTATGTAAACTGTTCCAAAATATAGAAAATGAAGGCAAGTTTACAGTTTTAAGCAAGTATAACATTGATACCTAAATCTGATATTGATTGTACACACAAAAAAACACAAGCCAATCTCACATATCAATATTGATGCAAAAGTCCTAAATAAAATATTAGCAAACAATCTATATAGCACATTTTCAGATGATATAGCATGACTGATACAAAGACAATTCAATATTAGGAACCACATAATTCACATAATAGATCTAAGGACAAACATGATCATCTCCATGGATGATGAAAGGGCCTTTGACAAAATTCAAGGTCCATTTTTGATTTTTTAAAAAATAGTACAATCTAGTATGTTGTTGAACAGGGAAGCACTATAAGCATTCCTGTGAAAGTCAAAGAACAAGACAAAGGTACCCACTGTCTCCATTAACATTTTAACATTGTATTGGTGGAAAGAGCAAAAACAATTAGACAAAAACAAAACAAAAAAGCAAGGAAGAGTCAATTGTAAAAGGGATGCATTTGTGTATTAAAAATTTGAACAAAACCCCAAAAACAAAACTTTTGGTCTCTTTTAGAGTCTAAACCACCAGCAGCAGCAGCATGGCTAGGTAGGAAAGACATGTCCATCATCCCGGAGTTTTGCAAGGGTTTTTATACATCAAGTAGGAGGGAGAAAGAAAGACGTAAGCCTTTCTGAAAGGATTTATATTAGCTATAGACAAAGGAGGTGGGAGAGGTGACGCGGGGCTCGTTCTGGGATTGGCACAGCAGAGTTCATAAGGAAGAACTATCTACTTCTGTGGATTAGCTGTGGGCAGCAGATTGGAAAAATCACGTGCAAATAAGAAAGGAGGTTCCAGGGGTTCCATGGTGCTTGGCTGTTGTCTCTTTTGGGTAATCCTGGAAATAGCCTCCTGGAGATTAATCCTAAATTCCAACAGATGTATGTGAATGTGAGCAGTCTTTTGTGAGAGCTGGTCCACAGCTATGCTATTTACAGGTTAACTGTTCTGTGCCTTTCTCAGGTAACTGTAATTTTAATGTAGAACATCTCAGAATTTTTTCTTGTCACATATTCAGATGACCTGATAGTTTAGGTGGAAAACATAAGGAAATTAAAACAAATTAATACAGTAAAAGAAGTACATAAAGTAAGGTACTAAATAATAAGATATAAAATTAACATACAAACCAATAGTTTTCACATACACAATTACTAGTGAGTGACGTGATACAAACAACAAAAAAGAAACACTGCCTTTTTATTTATATGTACTGTTTTCTATGGCACTGGGT